CCTCAACAAAGTTGCAAGTTTATCTTTTTTTATTTTCTGCTTCCCTGAAGAAACGTATTTTCCAACGGAGGACCCTCTGAGACCCTGGAGCTGCACAGCAACTGGAGAAAAGTCACTACTTGAATTTCAAACAGGTTTAGTCATGGAAATGTCACTTAACCTCTTTTTCAAAATCGTCTGTATTTTCTGGAGTTTTTCAAGTTGTCATCATTCCATTTTTTAACTGTTTGAACTTTCCAACTGCTTTTTTGCTTTTTTCCCCCAAATTTCCAAATCTGACTGTCGGTTCTCAGCAAAGCCTCCTCAAGCCTTCTCTGTTTTCCCTCCTTATGAACCCCAAAGTCTGCCCCTTTCTGGTCTCTGTGGGATGCACCACCATCACAAAGCACAACTCCATTGATCTGAGTGGCCTGAAGTGCAAATCTCCTGAAATGTACATTTCTGCGTAAGTGTCATGTGTGATCTGTGAACAAAACACACAGTAAATATTTAAATTTAAAAATGATTCAATAAAGACAATCCTCACTAATCTCCCTGAAAAAATACTCTCCTCCCTTCCAACACATGTACCCTGTTTTTCTTGCTGCTCTCTGTAGCAGCTTCGGGAGGCCACTTTCCTGAGTATCTTTACTGTGACCAAAACAAAATGTGATGAAAGCTGCCACCGAGCACCAGGCGGAGAGAGGTCGGCTCATGCCAGCGTGAGGCGTCTTCACGCACGCGTTCACCAGATCTCTCTCGGAGCAACTCGCGGCTCTTCCCAGAAGTGAAAATGGTCATGAAAAGCAGGATATGGGAGCAGCCAGGAGAGTACAGCTAAAGACACTCACAGGGAAGACATCCAGAACTGCTTCAAATTGTGGCAAGCATGATGTCAAAACTGTGTTCAGTGTGGAGGAGAGTATGGTGAGGGGAAGTGTTTCATTCATTGGAATGATTGTTTGGAAATTTAATTTTCACTTTCATAGTATTTGTTGATCATGCATCCTGGGTAGAGCCACATTTCTTTTTTTGGAAATTCATTAGTTGTATTGTTATGTTTCATATATAGAAAATGAGCACAGTCATCACAGAGATCTACTGGTAGGTGCTCTGTCTTGCTTCTTCTTTCTCTCCCATCCTGTTCCCCTGCCTTCTCCCCTCTTCCCTTCTTACAAAAGCTTGAATCTGTTTCATTATTTCTCCTCTTTTTTCCTTGCTCTTCCTTCTTTTCCCATCCCGCTCCTAGCTCCCCTTCCCAGTGGAACATTATCTTCCTCGTTCACAACACCTAACATCCATTTTGATCTTTATTTACATTTCGGTTTTTCACTCCAGA